AAACTTTCCAACATCTGAATTATAGGGGTACCAGAAGGGGAAGAGGAAGAGCAACCAGTGGAAAACTTATTTGAACAAATAATAAAGGAGAACTTCCCCAATCTGGCAAAGGAAATAGACTTCCAGGAAGTCCAGGAAGCTCACAGAGTCCCAAAGAAGTTGCACCCAAGGAGGAACACACCAAGACACATCATAATTACATTACCCAAGATTAAAGAGAAGGAGAGAATCTTAAAAGCAGCAAAAGGAGAGAGTTACCTACAAAGGAGTTCCCATCAGACTGTCAGCTGATTTCTCAAAAGAGACCCTGCAGGCAAGAAGGGGCTAGAAAGAAGTATTCCAGCTATGAAAGTCAAGGACCTACATCCAAGATTGCTCTATCCAGCAAAGCCTTCATTTAGCATGGAAGGGCAGATAAAGTGCTTCTCAGATAAGGTCAAGTTAAAGGAGATCATCATCACCAAGCCCTTAGTATATGAAATGTTAAAGGGATTTATCTAAGAAAAAGAAGATGAAAAACATGTACAGTAAAATGACAGCAAACTCATAATTATTAACAACCACACCTAAAACAAAAACAAAGTAAGCGAACAACTAGAATAGGAACAGAACCACAGAAATGGAGATCACATGGAGGGTTAGCAACAGGGGAATGGGAGGAAGAGAGAGGGGAAAAGGATGGAGAATAAGTAGCTTAGATGGTAGGTAGAAAATAGATAGGGGGAGGGTAAGAATAGTATGAGAAATGTAGAAGCTAAAGAACTTATGACACATGGATATGAACTAAAGGGCGGGAATGTGGGTGGGAGGGGGTGTGCAGGGAGGAGGGGAGTGAAGGGGGAAAATGGGACAACTGTAATAGCATAATCAATAAAATATATTTTAAAAAGAAAATAAATAAAATCAATAAACAAAGAAGAACAAAAACAAGAAACCAATGAATTTGGAGAATAGGGACACGCTTATGTGACCGATGCCCAGATGAAGAAGCCCAACATTGCCCGCCAGCAGCCCTGCTGGTGCCCGCGGGACCCACTGCTCTGACTGCCAGCACCTTGCATTCACTTTGCCTTTTGTGCCCTTCGCCGAAATGGAATCCTACAGCACAGGCTCTTCGTCACCCGGCTCCCGTGCACAACAGGGCTTGTGTGGTTTGTCCATGTCGTTCTGTGTGGCTGTCCATCTTCTTTCTCACTGTGTCAGGGAGTTCTACCGTGTGTATCCACCCCAGCGTATCTGCTCATTCTACTGCCAGTGGGCGCTGGGCGACTTCCAGCCTTTGTCTGTTACACACCGTGCTGCTAGGAACAGGCTAGTGCTCCCACTTCACGGCAGCCTCTTGCCCATCATTAGATGTAAAAAGTTGAAAACTATTGCTTTAAGCCTCAAGTCTTGAGAAAGCCAATCTGCCCCACCTCTGCAATTTTTCCTTCCTCCCTTTCTTCTTTCCTTTTTAGAAGATTTTATTTATTTTTAGAGAAAGAGGAAGGAAGGGGGGGAAAAAGGGAGAGAAACATCAATGTGCAAGATATATATCAACTGGTTGCCTCTCGCACACCCCTACAGGGACCCAGCCCGCAACCCAGACATGTGCCCTGACTGGGAATTGAACTAGTGACCTTTCAGTTTGCAGGCTGGCACTCAATCTACTGAGCCACACCAGCCAGGGTTAGCCTTTCTTTAAACACAGTCCTTCCAATAATATAAAGAGCATTTTTGGCCATAGAAGTCAGACTTCCTAAGACAAAAGCCCTATTCTACTACCTCATTGCTGTGTGTCCTTGGGCAAGCACCTAACCTCCCTGTGCATGTTTCCTTACCTGTAAAATGGGAATAAAAACAGCATTTCTAAGTTCACTTGGCTGAGGATTAAACATGGAAACAGTGCTTGCACATAGTAGGCACTCATCAACTCCCAAAGGCACCCTGTCTTTCTCAGCACCCGAGGGACCCTCCTTTGGGTGGCCCCTGCCAAAACAGCTTAGCCTGGCCCTCCCCCAGGAGACAGAAACTGCAGATAAACAATCTCACCACCTCCAACTGGAGCAGAGCTGTGTCGGAAAGCTGGCCCTCCACCCGGGCCCACTCCCTCTCCCTCTGCCCCGCAGGCATCCAGGACACTTGGCAGCATGGCTGCTGTCTTTTTACCCACAGGGCACCAGATTTCACTCAAAACGTGACCTACACCAGGGGCACCCTTCTGGGTCATTATTAATGGTGTGCCAGCAGCCCAGTAACAAGCTGCAGGGACACCAACAGTGCCCAGAAATTTCTGCCTGAAAAAAAAAACAAAAACAAATGTTTTAAACGTCCATGCAAAAGGAGAGTGAAGTGGACTATTTCTTTTTTTTAGGTGACAAAGATGGAAAAAGCCCCTCGAAGCATGAAGTGCGGGGACCTAAGAGCGAGAGACTGGGGCCTCACACTACTGGTTGCCATGGCAACTGTATTTCACAGCAGGAACTCATTTTCATATGACAGTGACCTGTGGAGGAAAGAGAAGGACAGCTCCTACAGAAACTTAGTCGAACAGTCTGTTGGGGTGGGAGGATTAATTTTGTTTACCAAAAGATGCATTTAAGAGTGCCTTACAGGGCCCTGGCTGGTGTGGCCTGGTGGATAGAGTGCCGGCCTGCAAACTGAAAGGTCGCCGGTTTGATTCCCAGTCAGGGCACGCAGGCCAGGTCTCCAGCTGGGGGCAATTAATGTTTCTCTCCCTTTCTTTCTCCCTCCCTTCCCCTCTCTCTAGAAATAAATCAATAAAATATTTTTTCTTTTTAAAAAGTTCCTTGCAGGACAGATATGATCTGAGGACCCCCTAGCACACAGGTGGCAAACACAAGACCCTCGGGCTGAATCCCACCCTCCACCTTGTTTTATCCAGCAGCAGTGCCGAGCTCCTTGCCCCTAGTTAAAGAGCAGTTACATTTATACAGTGCTAAAATTACATTCGGCCCTTTGAAGGCAACCTCAAGGCTGATGTGGCCCCCAGTGACAATGAGTTCAACACCCTTGCGTCTACATGATGCTGTTCTTCTTTAAAACAAAATGCATCTATGCCCAGAAAATTCACAGCATCGTGTTAAACAGGGCTCCCTTCTGCGTGGTAATGTTATGAGTGACCTAAAGTTTCTCCCTTTTACTTCTTTGTTGTTGTCCTGATTTTATCACTTATGTATGTATGTCTCACCTCAGGAAGAAAAAAGAGGAACCGTTTCCATGGCAGGGGTGGGGAGGCAGTGTGGTGCGGGGTCCGCAGCCAACCACGGCCCCACCAGTCACACGTGGCTCTCGGGAGCTTGCTTCATGTGGTCCCTGCCGCCCCCCAGGAAGCCCAGCCCATGCTGGGGGCAGGAGGGATTCTCTGTTGCACAATTCTTACTTAAGACACACACACACACACACACACACACACACACATGCTCGAGGCTTGGCCTGTTTTGAAGGCCTCTGGGGTAGATGTCACTGGTCCCACCGTTAACCATCTGTTGATGTCACAGCGTCCGTGAGTCACTGGTCTCAGCGCTAACCATCTGTTCGGTGACAAAGTCCCTTCCTGGAGTCCAGTGGAGTCCCAAGCAACCCATTGACCAAGCCACCAGGACGCTGCACACCGGGGCCAAGTACCAAGAGGACCTGCAGCATCCTGTCTGCTCTGCCCACTGACAAGCTGTGTGGTTTGGACAGGTGTGTGGATCTCTCCAGGTCTGTGTCCTCAGGGGCAGAAGGAAGACAATAATCATAGATAGCGCCTACCCTCCGGGCGTGGGGAAGATAACACACAGGAGGGAACACCCGGAAAATCGGAACACACCCTACACGTTAACAACCACTCCATAAACAGCTGCTATGATTAAGAGCTAGAAAAGTAACTCTCACGCCCCGATCTGATTGGAAGCTAACCACAGAGAACAAACTGTTAACTGGGGTGGCACACACTGTAACGAATCCATCAATAGGCCCAGCAGGAGTGCAAACCAGTGGGAACCCGGAGGGCCGGAATGGTCCAGCAGGGAGCTGGAGTTTGAACCAGACTCTGAAGGATGATGGGAAATGTTCTTGAAGGTCTGGGGGAGGGAATTCCTAAATTGGACGTCTACCAGGGCACGTGTCCTGGGGAGTCAGGAGAAAGGCAAGAGCCTTCAGTGACACAAAGGGACCTGCGATCAGCAGACAGACAGCTATTACATGCACGGTGGAGTGAGAAGGCCAAGAAAGGGGCCCCCAACGCAGCTGGGAGAGGCAAAACCTTCCCAGGGCAAGTGGCTTCTGAGCTGGGTCCCAGACGGTGAGGGCAAGAGGGCTGGCCACGGAAGTGAAGGAAGTAGATGCCGGACAGGAAAATGGGTCTGAAGACTGAGGCCATGTGACCGAGGAGCCACGGAGGCAGATAAATGAGCTGGCCTCGTGTGGGAGGAAACTCCGAGCTTCTGAAGATTTCTCAGTGGGGAGGATTCAACAATGGGGTAAACGCAATAGTCAGGGACCGTGAGGCTAGAGGCAGTACGCCAAATGGGTTGTGGGGGCTGGGGGGATTCTGGCATCAGAGAAACCAGCTAAGGGGGTCTCTAACTCTGGCCTGAGATGTCCAAGGTCAGGGAGAGGCAGAGACACTTCAGGGAAAAGCGAATGTGGCAGAGCAGGAGGAAACTAGTGCTGAGCGAGTGAGGGCAGCTGCCCAGAAGGAGTAGGCCAGCCCTGAACGTGCTGCATGTAGGGTGTCACTGGACACCCACGGAGCCAGAACTTTAGCTGGACCCCAGAGGGAGAGCTTCCTGAGAAGCTAACCACGGGCCTCACAAAATGCACCAGAAAAGAGAGAAGAGGAGAAGGAAAGTGGAGAAATAAGACCAAAGCCAGGAGGGAGGAGTGCCCCAGAAACCACAGCAGAGAAGGCGACAAAGAGGATGCACACACACAGGGGTCTGGGCAGATGGACAAGTGGACAAAAGAGCAGTGTTTGGAAACAAGGTGACTTTCAGGGAAGTAGTTCCAGCGAAATGGCGGGACCCGCAGCCAGGCTGTGGAGGGTGAGCAGAGGCGGGGGCCCTAGAGGCAGGTGGCAGGTGCAGGGCACTGGCTGGGACTCTGTGACAGTGGGAAGGGGACAGGAAGATATGGCTCCCATGCATGTTCATTTTGCCCAGGAGATGGGAGGCCAGTGGATGTCAGAGGAGGATGGAGGGACATGAAGACCTGGTTAAGGGCACAGTCTCTCAGGTGTGAGGGTGGGAAGGGCAGAGACTGGACTGCAGCCCTGGCTCTGCCAAGGCTCTTCCCAGGGTGACCAGGGACACCCCCTGACTCCTCCAGCCCTCAGACGGCTGGGAAGCCCAAAGGCTCTCACCCAGCCTCACAGGTAACCTGATCACTCAATAAATCCCCCTGGTCCTGAACCTCACTGAGGATGGGCTTCCCCACACAGCACCTCAACTTTACAAACATCCTCTCAACTTCCTAATCAACCTCTGGGGCTGGGGGCATAAAACGCCACCAGATGGGAAAATCTGGTCCTCAGCGTCTGAGCAGCCCCCGGGGGGTGGGGGGGGCGTGGGGGGGGGACCAAATTCCCAGACTTCCCAGCAGAGCGCTCCCTGCTGCCCAAGAAAAGAGGCTTCTACCTTAACAACGCCGGTGTCGTGGGCACCATTGTGAACCTAGAGCCTTCATGCCCAATGCACAGGATGGATTTCCACCCTACCCCCAAACCTTCGGCCTGTGCCTGAGTGGTTTTCAGGAAGACTGGAGAAAAAACCCAGGACATGATTTTCAGGCTGAAAGTGGAGGAATACTGTCTGGCCAGTGAGGAACCCCTCCACCTCGCGCTCGCACACTCCTGGGCACCTAATCATGGGAGGAAGTTCAAATACACAGGGCCCGGGCCGGCCACAGCGCCCCACGTCAACCAACTCGACTGCGGGATCCGCACCAAAGCCCAAGCAAGGGGCAGTGGCGCGCCGCCCCAACACGGGCGGCCCCGGAGACACCCAGGACGCTCCCGCCACACGTGCGCGCCCCAGCAGGCACTGGGTAAACATCGCACTTGTTGACTCGCTCGCCCACAGGCTCACCCCAGCGCCGCCTGGTGTCCGCGGCTGCCTTTGCCGGCCCTCTCACCGCCCACTCCCCTCCCCCACTCGGCCACCCTCCCGGCCTCCACCTCGGAGCACACGCTCCCAAGAGGGCCCCTGGCCGGGCTTCTGGCCAGACGCCTAGTGCCAACCGTCCCGGGAGCCCGACCCAGGGGCTGTCCGCGCCCTGCCGGCCCGGGGCTCGCCCCCTCCCCCGGCGCAAAGAGCTCCTAGTTCTCGTCCGCCGCGCCAGGGCCGCCCTGTGCGCCCTTTTGGCCCCCGCCATGGGTTCAAACGCACTCCCCAGACCTCGGAGACTGCGCCCCGAAAGGGGAGAGGGGGTTGGCCCCACTTTAGCCGGACTTACCTGCAGGTTCGGCCCAGCCGTCCGGCGCGCACCCTGGGCTGCCCTCTGGCGGCGGCCGCGGGGACCCAGGCGGCCGCCCCGCCCCGCACCGCCCTTCTCCCACCTGGAACCTGTTGCCACCGGCTCGAGAACCCCGGCCTCTGGTCACCTGGTAGGCGGGGCCCCTCTGAGTGGATATCCTGAGCACCAAACGGGTCGCGACAGCCTCTTATAATCGGATACCAAACACCACTATCCTTTTCCCTAAGCAGCTTCAAGTCCTGACTTCCCGGCACTACAAGATCCTCAAGGCTCGTTTGTGTATTTCCTGCACTAGTCCTAAAATTGGTCATTTCTCTGAGGAGCCCGGCTTCCTTTTATTGGGGAATAGGATTAGAAACCAAGATCTGGGGGCTCAGTATTCTCTTTGCTACTGGACCCACTGGGTTTTATCATTAATGACCTACAGCAGGCCAAGTAAAGGTCTAGGTTCTGTAGTCACCTGAGGGCTTGTTAAATATGCAGAGACACGGGTTCTAGCGTCGAATCCGGAGGTGGGGCCTGGAATCACATTCAACATGTCCTCCCAAGGATTCGGATTCGCTCCAAGGTTGACCTTTCAGAAGGACCGGAAGTCCACAGTCAGAATGCCCCTAGGGGAGAATCTATATCTGTTCTCTTTCCGCACGTGCCAACCCCATCCCATGTTGCCTTTGGTTCTTTTTTGGCCCAGTGAGCACATCGGAACAAGCATGCTGCTCGTTTCTGAGCCTCGAACAACCTGAGCAGGAGCAGCCATTGGCTTCTACCTCCCTTCTGACAAAGACTCACTCCCCCGCCAAACTTTAGTGGGTTTCTCTGACACCACTTCTTGACTAGGCTTCAACCTTGGTCTATGATAACTGCAACTGTCAACACAAACGATTTTGTCCACCCCTCAACACACAGAGGCTTGAAGGAAATAATCTAACACTGTTTCTGGCAGCCTAAGGCCGCAGTGTTCCTGTGATGGCCCAGCCCCACCTCGAGTTCCTATCTGAAAACAACTCAAAGCTTTCAAAAGAATTTACCATTTGTTCCAGCCAACCTTTGCCGATAGGCCCCTGATTCCTGTATGTGCCCACATTCCTGTATTGAACCCACAACCCTGGTACATCAGGACCATGCTCTGAGCAACTAACCTACCTAGCTAGGGTTCATTCTTTCTTTTTAAAAAATTTTATTTATTTATTTATTTTAGAGAGAGGGGAAGGTAAGGAGAAAGAGAGGGAGAGAAACATCAATGTGTGGTTGCCTCTCAAGCGCCCCACACTGGGGGCCTGACCTGGCCTGCAATCCAGGCATGTGCCCAGGCCAATAATCCAACCTGTGATCCTTTGGTTCACAGGCTGGCGCTCAATCCACTGAGCCACACCAGCCAGGGCTCATTCTCCCTTTAAAAGGGCAAGTAACCTCTGCACAGATCAGAATCAAGCTTAGTTCTATACTAAAGAAGTCTCTTTCCACTACGGCAGTGGTACTGAATAGAATCTGTCTTTATCACCATTAACTAGTGTCCATCTTTGTTTTTTCTTTAACACTTTTCAGGAATGTTCCCAGTGAGAGGGAGCATTGGAGTCTCCATCTCAGAACCAACAGGCCTCTGCACTCAAAGTTAAATAGCAGCCCACAGAGGCGAGCAGGAGTGCAGTTGTTCAGCTGTCCTCCGACAAGGCTGGGATCTGGGACTTTTCCCTTGCTTAGGCAGGCAGGCAGCAGCGTAAGTCAACAAAAACTGATACAGGTAGAAACTTAGATCTTTGAATTCTGGAAATAGCCTGGAGGTATAGACACAATCAATTAGCATTCTAAAGGAAACTAAAGTCCAAAGAGAGCCCTGGATGTGTTTGCTCAGTTGCTGGAAGCATCATCCCATACGCCAAAAGTTTGCAGGTTCAATCCCTGGTCAGGACACCTAAGGAGGCAAGCGATAGATGTTTTTACCTCGCATCGATGTCTCTTTCTTCCCCTCTCACTCTCTCGAAATCAATAAGAATGTCCTTGGGTGAAGATTAAAAAAAAAAAAACATCCAAAGAGCGGCTTCTCCATCCGCACAGCACTTAATTACAGATGGCGCAGGGAAGGGGCTGTGCAAACCGAATCCGAAGTGGGCGGGTCCCAGTGTCCTGGGACTCTGAGTGTGTGGAGACCCACAGAGATGGCCCAGACGTGAGTAACCGGTCATCCCACTCAAGGAGCTCACACACCCCATGTAGTTGCTTTCTCTGCGTTATCTCACAGGCACCATTATCATCCCCATTTTGCAGCTCAAGGAACCAGGGCTCGGAACAGCTAAGCTTGCTCACCCAGGCTGTGGGGGGCCCTGAAGGAGGCCAAGGGCCTGGTGTGGGCCATTTGTCCATGGCTACCCAGTGAATGGCAGGTGTCATGTCAGTGCTCCCAGAGTCAGAGGAAGGAAAATACTTCAGGAATACCCAGGCATCTGCCACTGGGCCGGGCTGAAACTGTCGCTGGATCACTGTATTGTCGAGGCAGAGTCCTGAGGAAACCAGCCTCTGTGCTCGCAGCTGGAGCACGACCCTGACAAGGTGCCACTCTGACTGGCGTTTGCAAATTGCATGATATATTCTGAAATCTGTGTTTTCAAGGGACAGATGTCATCCCTCAGGATCAGTCAGGAGTTGAGAATGGCTCATCACTGACACTGCTCCCAAGGTCACACAGCAAATAAGTAGCAGGACTCAGGAGTCAGTCTGGCTCCTGAGTCCACACACGTGTGGGGAAGGAAGAGACTTCCCTCCACCCTCAAGGTCCTTTTGGCTAATGATCAGGTAGACATAAGACAAATTAATAAGGGAAAATGACCAAATTTAAAGATTTTATTTATTTATTTTTAGAGAGAGGGGAAGGGAGGGAGAGAAACATCAACGTGAGAAAGGAACATCAGTTGGTTGCCCCTCATATGCGCCCAGCTGGGACCAAACAACAACCCAGGCATGGGCCCCAACCAGGAATCCAACCAGGGACCTTCCGATTTGTGGAATGACACCCAGCCAACTAAGCCATGCAGGTCGAGGCAAAATGACCGACTTTAATACATATGTGTGTGTGTGGAAACCCTGTGCACATGACAGTCAGAGATGCACATGCAGGGGAGGGTCAGAGACAGAAAGGGAACATGGGCATGTGAGCCGTCCCGGGCCAGGGGTGAGGTGAGGTGCCTTGGGGGCTTCAGAGGGTCACTGCAGGGTGACAACAAAAGCAGATGTTTAGTAAGTAGAAGTTTGCCCTGCCCTGTAGTTAGGTCAAAAGAGCTTTACTCTCATAATCTGTTATTACGGTCAAGGTCCCTAATTCAAGTTCTTCTGTGTGGTTAGGGAGGGGCAGAAGTTTCTCTAGAGCCCTTGTCCAGTGCTGCCTTTGGTTTAAACAGTCCACATACCACAGAGGCGCACCTTGAGGTGTGAGCCCAGCCAGCAGTTGGGAACGTCTCATCACTGATACTGTGCCCAGGCCGTCTTGTCTGTTGGTCTGAAGTTCAAAGCAAAACAGAACAAAACGAAGTCTGACACTATATATGCACTGGAAACTATGTTGAATGTTTTTCAAATTATAGCTCATTTAATCCTTTCAACAACCCTACAATGTAAGTACTTATTATCATGACTACTTAAAAGATGAGAAAGCTGAGCACAGAAAAGTAGTTGCCCAAGGTCACACAGCAAATAAGTAGCAGAACTAGGAGTCAAATCCAAGCATTCTAGTTCCAAACCCAGGCAAGTGTGGGAAAGGAATAAACTTTCCTCTCCCCTCAAGGTTCTTTTAGCTGGGGCCTACCCGCAGAAGTGAACCCCCACAGGAGTAACCAGGACGTGATGCAGCCTGCCAGGGTGGGGTGCTGGGCGGCTGGGTGGCTGCGCACCAGAGTGCCCGCTGGGCTCCCTCGCCTGTAGGCCTTTGGTCACCCGAAGGAGTTCTGCAAGCCCCCGGCATCTTTTTTTTTTTGAAGATTTTATTTATTTATTTTTTACAGAGAGGAGAAGGGAGGGAAAGAGAAAGAGAAACATCAGTGTGTGGTTGCCTCTAGCACACCCCGGACTGCGGGCCTGGCCTGCAACCCAGGCATGTGCCCTGACTGGGAATCGAACTGGCGACCCTTTAGTTCACAGGCCAGCACAACCCACTGAGCCACGCCAGCCAGGCTGCCCCTTCACCTTCATGGTCAGTTTCTCCCTCTGGAACCCCAGCTTCTGCATGATTCAGGCCCAAGTCTTAAAGCTTTTTTTTTTAAAGATGTTATTTATTTGTTTTTAGAGAGAGGGAAAGGGAGGGATAAAGAGAGGAAGAGAAACATCAGTTGCCTCTCGTGTGTGCTTTGACCAGGGATCGAACCAGCAACCCTTTGCTTTGTGGATCTATGCCCACCAACTGAGTTACATAGGTCAGAGGTAAAAGATTTGTTTTTAAATGCTGAGAACAGGAGAAAAAGGATGAGTCCTTCAGCTAACTGGGTGGGTCAGTGGGCTCTCCCACCTTTTTCTGTGCTGTCTGCTCTGGCGGCCAACACACTAGGAAGTCCCATGGGGACCCCACCGTAAGGTGGGGAATAGGAACCATAGAAGTGAAGCCATGGCCTGTGGGAACCTGCGAGGGGAGAGAAAGGACAAAGAATCCTTATGAGTTTGCTCCGTCTGCCACGACAGGTCCCACGGACTGACGGCTTAAACTACAGAAATGTACTCATCATCGTCCTGAAAGCCAGAAGTCTGAAGTCAAGGTGCCAGAAGGGTCCGTCTCTTCTGAGGCTTAGTTCCTCGACTTGCAGACAACCACCTCCTCACCACGTCCTCGCACAGTCGTCCCTCGGTGCCTGTCTGTGGCCCTGTCTCTTCTCATAAGGACACACTGGATTAGAGCCCACCCTAATGTCCTCATTTTAACTTACTACCTCTTTACAGACCCTGCTGTAAATACAGGTACTGGGGTTAGGACTTCAACGTATGAATTTGAGAGGGACACAATTCAGTCCACCACGGGATCCTAAGGAAATGTACAGGCTGGAGTTAGGAGAGGTTTCACATTGCTAGGAGAAGATATTTTTTGACATACCAAAAAGTATGAAGAATAATGTCAAACATGGGGCGTGCGCATGTCCCCGCTGCTCAGCCCAA